CAGCCTCAGCAATTTAGCAAGATCCTAGCAACTCAGCAAAACCCTGTCTCAAAATAAAATACAAAAAAGGGCTGGGGATATGGCTGAGTGATTTAAGTGCCCCTTAGTTCAATCCCCAGTATCAAAAAAAAAAGAACTTGATGAAAGTGTGGTATTGCCAAGAGAAGAGGTAGGGAATCTCAGTAGAGAAATAAAAATGAGAAAAGGAGGGCTGGGGTTGTAGCTCAGTGGAGAGAGAGAGAGAGAGATATGACTGCATAAGAATGGGAGAAGGGTAAAATTTAGAGAATAGGAGTTTTTTTTTTTCTACCAGATACAATAACATTAAAGATATTCATTAAACTAATATGATATTGGAAAAATCTACATTTAGAATCATGAAATAAAACGAAGAATGCAGAAACATCCAAACCCACATGTATCCAAATAAATATGTGAACTTAGTGTATAATAAAAATGATCTTTTGGGCTGGGGTTGTGGCTCGGTGGTAGAGTGCTTGTCTAGCATGTGCGAGGCACTGGGTTCGATTCTCAGCACCACATATAAATAAGTAAATAAAATAAAAATAAGGCACTAGGTTCCATCTCAGCACCTCCAAAAAATTACTTTTATTATTATTAAGATTTGTTTTTTATAGTCCAGCACATGATCTATGTTGGTGAATGTTCTGTGCTCCTTGATCTTACCCCTATTTGACAAGGTGGTGTTCTGTTCCAATGTGGAAAATAAGACCCACCTAGAAATGGCTGGCAGCGTCCATGCTAAGAAATAGATTGCATGCTATCTTGAAGGTGACAGATTTCATTTACTTGAAGAATAAGAACTTGAAGGGCTGGGATGTGGCTTAGTGGCAGAATTCTTGCCTGACATGTGCAAGGCTCTGAGTCCAGTCCCCAATGCTGCAAAACACAAACAAAAGAACATGAACTCTCCATCTTATCTTTTTTCCTGATTCCTATGTCCTATTTTCTACATTGTTCTATATATCCTCAGAGAGACACAATGAAATAAGGATGACTTTATTTTTACAGTACTGGGGATTAAACCCAGGCTTTGTGCATGCTAGGTAAGTTCAATATCACCGAGCTGCATCTCAGCACAAGGATGTTATTTTTTTAAAATTTAGAAAACAAGGAGTCCTTGGAAATTAGAAATACAATAACAGAAATGAACATCTTAATGGAAAGATTGAAAGGCAATGGTAAAAAAATTTACCATATAAGGAAAAAAATATATTTTTAAAAATTAGAGAATAAATCATAGTACAACAACAAATAATAGAAGTTTCAGAAAAAAAGAGAACATAAAAAATGGAGAGAATTCAAGATAATTTGCTCATAGTAGTAAGTAACAGAGTGAAGGGCCAATTAAGTGTCCTACACAATGGATGAAAACAGACTTCATACCAACCAAGAAATAGGAGTATAAAATTTCAGAATTTCTGGAAGAAAAGATTTTATAATCTTCCAGAGAGAAAAATGACATAGTCATTGATTAAGAGTCAATCCAGGGACTGGGATTGTGACTCAGTGGTAGAGGGCATGCCTAGCATATGGGAGACACTGAGTTCAATTCTCAACACTGTATATAAATAAACAAACAAACTAATTAATTAATTAAATAAAGAACCATCAACAACTAATAAATTTTTTTTTTTTAAATGGCAGGGGTTGGGGCTGGGGTTGTGGTTCAGCGGTAGAGCGCTCGCCTAGCATGGGCAAGGTCCTGGGTTCGATCCTCAGCACCACATAAAAATACATAAACAAAATAAAGGTATTGTGTGCAACTAAAAAATTAATATTAAAAAAAAATGGCAGGGGTTGTGGCTCAGTGGCAGAGCACTTACCTAGCATGTGTGAGATACTAGGTTGGATTCTCAGCACCACATATAAATAAATTAATAAATAAAGGTTCATCAACATCTAAAAATAATTATATATATATATATATATATATATATATATTTTTTTTTTTTTTTTTTTCTTTTTTTTTAAATACTCAGTCTAGTTTGGCATTCTCAACAACAATAGTAGAAGCCAGAAAACAATGGACCAATATCTTCAAAGTTCTTAGGGGGGGATGACTTTCATTCTAGAATTTCATACCCAGCCAAATTATCAGCCCTTTGTTAAAAGTACATCAAACTGTTGATCCTCATTACCTATGAGGAGGGAAAAGGTTATGTAGTGGGTGAATTTAGGAATTTTTGCCCTGCAGACATTTATGTTGTTTGACTCTAATACAGCAACATGTTTCATCCTTACTTAAAGTTATGGTTTGGATCTAGAATGTCCCTTAGCTCACATTGAAAGCATGATCTCCAATGCAGTAAGGCTCAGAGATGGGATTTTCAGGAAATGATGGGATCATGAGGGCTCTAACATCATCAGTGGATTAATAATTTGAACAGACTGCTGGCTGGTAACTCTAGGCAGGTGGGACATGGTTGACTGGAGGAAGTAGGTCACTGGGTGTGACCTTGGATTATATCTGTCCCTGGCCCCTTCTTCGTTTTGCTTCCTGGCTGCCATGAATTGAATATGCCACTCCACCATGATGTTCTGCCTCACCTCAGGTATAAAGGAATGGCGCCAGCTGACAACAGATTGAATCCTCTGAAACCATGAGCCAAAACAAACTTTTCCTTCTCTTGTCATGTTCTTGTCATGTGTTTCGGTCACAGTGACAAAAGCTGGCTAAAACATTTACCCGGGGTTTTCAAACAAAGGAAGAGAATTGAATTAAATGCTGCACATTGTTGCACATGTTAATGGTAAATTTTTGTGGGAAATCTAACAAACTCTAAGTGCTGATTTGATTTTTTTTTTAAACTACTCAATGACCTTACAACATCCTTCCTAATCAAATTGGAGGTTTGGTGTTTTGTTTTTCTTTTTCCTGCCAACTAAAAATACACTATCCAACTCAGGAAATGCGGCTGATTGAATAGCAGCTGCTGCTGAGGGCCTACTTTACATATCGAAACCAACCTTGGAAGAAAAATACCAAAAGCTCGCTGTGTCAGCTCCTGTTTTGAAGACAGCCTGAAGCCCGTCACACAGGTTTGTCTTGGCCTCCACATGGTCCTGCCTGCATAGTTTTAGGAGAAAGTCTCTTGCTACTCTTTCTTTCCTCCCTTAGTGCAAGGAAACTTCCTGCAAATACTGGAAAAGCTGCTTCAGTGCAAAGTTAACATTCTCCAGATCTTTTTTACGCTGGAAGTAGATCATCCATCCATTGCCAATTCCTTTTTTCCTTCATTATTGATGAGAAAAAGATCCAGTGCCAAGATATTTCTGCCTAGATGGGGAGAGAGAATAAAAAGATAGGCAAAAAAACTTTCCCCAGTTTTGCCATGTTCTTCACTTGGTTATATAAAAATATCATCACCAATAAAATATGAAATACAAATAGCAGGAAAGTTCTGAAAGATGAGTTGTGCTGTAAGTAGAAAACACAAGGCACTTAATGTGACAGCTCAAAGTACAATTTTAATGCAAACTAGGATGTTTAAGAAGGATCTATATTCTGCTTATGTTTTAATCTATGTTGAATGCTGTTACATGGTATTCTACTCTTCATACACAAGAACATCAAGGGCTAGGATGTAGCTCAGTGGTAGAGTGCTTGCCTGGCATGCATGAAGCTCTAGGTTCAACTCCCAGTATGGCAAAAATGGGGAAAAAAAAATGTTGATTCTGCAACATGGAGATGCATTTTGAGCAATTGTAAAAGAAATAATGTGACAGAGCATGTAGAGTATTTCTCATAGCTGTGCAATAAAAAATTGCATTATAGGCTGGTGTGGTGGCAAGTTCAAGGTCAATCTGAGAAACTTAATGAGACCCTGTGTAAGAATAATAATAAAGCTGAGGGCAGGTCTGGGGATGTAGCTCAGTGCTAGAGTGCTTACCTAGCATAGGCAAGGATGTTCAGTCTTCAGTACCCCAAAACAAAACAAAATAGATTAAATAATAAATTATCCCAGGTACTACTAGGTTCCGATTTTGTCTCCCATAGTGCACATGTTGGCTACTTAATCCCCAGTGCAACTGTGTTGACAGGTGGAACCTCTGGGAGTGATTCGGACACAAGGGCAGAGCTGTCATGAGTGGAACAATGTTGGTTATCAGGAGAATGGGTTAGTATGAGTATAAGTTTGGGCGTCTTTGCTCTCTGCTACTTTCTTGCCCTTCTGCCTTCTGCCATTGACTGATTCAGCACAAAGGCCCTCCCCAGATGCTGACGTCATGCTCTTGAACTTCCCAGGCTCCAGGAAAGTATACCAAATAATTTTTTTTTCTTTATGAATTACCTAGTTTATGGTATTCTTTTGTTTTGTTTTTGGTACTAGGGATTGAACTCAGGGGCACTTTACCACTTGAGCTACATCTCCAGTCCTTTTTATTTATCATTTTGAGATAAGGTCTTACTAAGTTGCTGAGGCTGACCTGAAACTTGTGATCCTCCTGAGTTGCTGGGATTACAGGAATGCACCAAACACCACGCCTGGCTAGTCTATAGTATTCTGTGATAGCTACATAAAAAAGAACTGAGATATGGGATAATACAGATAGAAAAAAAGCAGATCTGGGGCTAAAATTCACATCTTAATTCTTCAATCTGTGTTTTTCCTAATTTATGATGAAGATTTACTGATAAAACCACACTGTTTTATTTGTAAGATAGCAGGTAGGAATTACTGCAGCATTCCCTCTGGTTTTAAAATTTTGGACTTGATAGCTGAGCACCGTGGCACACATCTATAATCCCAGGGGCTCAGGAGACTGAGGCAGGAGAATTCCAAGTTCAAAGCCAGCCTCAGCAACTTACCAAGGCCCTATGCAACTTGGTGAGATCCTATCTCAAAGTAAAAAAATAATAAGAAGAAGGGCTGGGGATGTGGCCCAGTGGTTAAGCACCCCTGGGTTCAATTCCCAGTATAATTTTTTTTTCACTCAATGACCATGCAATAAGAGTAACAATATTTTGAGCATCGATCCTTTGGTTCATGAATGTGATGACTGAGTGTTCACACTATTGTGTGAGTCATGCCTCCCTCTAAACCTTGTTATGACTTCGGCACATTACCCATCTGATGTGAAAAAAAAATTGAGCATATGAGATATACCTGCACGTGTGCATACACAAAGAAACAGACAGACACACATATGCTGTTAACCCATGTTCAAAGACAAAGCTCTTGGAATACAGCATTGCCTGTACAGAGAATCTTCTATCATGGAACACAGTGAACGGGATTGCAGCAGACATTGTTGCCCACCCAACACCATCCCTGCTTTCTTCTTACTAAGACTAGCACTATTTTATCCAGATACTGAGAGGTGAGGGCAACATTCTCAGAGAAATTGAACCCAGCCTGACCATGCCAAGGAATTTCATTTCTCTTGGTCAATGAGATAAAAGGGGAAATTGGCAGCTTTGGGGCGATATTTCCTTTTTGATTAAATAGATGCACACACACACAAACACACAACAAGAACACACCTTTCCCTTCTTCCTGCTCTTCAATTCAGCTGTGTGAGGATAAGATGTTTGGTGTTGCTACACCAGGGAAGGAAACATCACCTGTAAACTGATGGTGCCAAAGCAGAGAATGGAAAGAGATGGGCTCCTCTGTGACACTCTGCAGACCAACCCAGATCCACCTCCCTCCAGACTCACTGTCCTGGGAAAATGAGAAAACCTTCTTTCCGCCCTTGCAGCTGGGTGTTCTATAACTTCCAGCCCAAAGCATCCTCACTCTGCCACTCTGAGTCTCAGCTCTTTTCTTTTATAAAATGATGACAATAACACCTGGCAGGGTGGTTGTGAGGAGGAAATGAAATAATAAAATGTCTAACATAAAGGAACTCAGTAAATGGCCGCTACTAATATCATAAGCATGATAACTATGATATAAAATCCTCAACAGTGGGAATGTTCTCTCCACTCTGTCAATCTCTCTGCGGCACCTGGCACATTTCCCCTACAACAGTGGCCTGGGGACAGTACACCCAGCTCCTACCTTCTCTACGTGTTGAGGAGCTCAGCCATGGGCGCTTTAGGCCTGGGAGCCAAAAGGCCCAGCCCACAAGGGAAAGGAAAATTGAAATCATGTAACATTGAAGCATAATTGATAGAGCAACTTAACATACTGAAAGATCGAAGCAAGCCGTAAAACGTTCATTTCTTGGGTCCTAGAAATCCCAACTCCGCCAACACAGCCAACAGAAATGAACCAAGTGATCCAAAAGTTGATTCACAAAATCTTTAATTCAGCAGTTTTTTGCAGACTTGACAAGGGGGAAACCAAAACATTTCCCCTTAAAGTAGTGGAATGATGAAGCCAACACAATAATTTTTATTAAAGACTATGTAGGAGTAAGGCGATGTCATTTTTGACATAAATGAAAAATACATCCAATCAGAATACCAGAGTGTATGCACACTCTTCTTATCACCACCTGGAGCATGGCTGCGGTTAGGCTGGCTATAATTGGCATCAAGGGCATTGGAACACAGGAATTGAGGGACTGCCAATTGCTGAGGGCACCCTGGCTGTTTTCTCTCTTTACTAAGATTATTAGTGGTTTTCAAAACAGCCCAGCAGCCAAGTGCAGAGCTGGAGGTGCTGGGGGAAGCAAAGGGACCGATGGTCCCACCACCTAAAAAGCTGCACCCAGAGAAGGCATCTGAGGCAGAAGCCCCACACCCAGGACTCATGACCCAGGCAGCCATGAAGATGTACTGCAAAGACTACCAGCTCTGCAGACACCGTGAGGAAGCAAAGAGCGTATGAAACCTGGGAGGGAGGGAACTCAGGAATCCTTGCCCTTGCTTTTGCTGGGCAGATATTTCTGGTAGAATGTTTCCTATCGACTACTCTCTATGAATACTGTGTATGGCCAGAGTACTAGAAAAGCATGAGCAGACAGATTTCTGTCCTTCAAAGGAATTCTCTGGAGGGCCACATATCAGCCCATGAAACCAATTACCTTAGAAAAGGCACACAGCTACCACAAACACGTGTTTGAAAAGCATGCTAAAAAATAAGATAAATATATGTTTGCATACTGTAGGGCTTCTGTGTTTAGAATTAGGGTCTAACTTCGTGATTGTGACATGCATGCTTGGTAATTAGGAAGTCTCTGTGCAAAGCCACAGAATGCCTGACTGCTAGGAACTTTCTGTGCAAACATGGGACACTGGCTACTGGGAAACTCCTGTGCAAAAGCTTGGGATGCCTGGCCGCTCTACCAATGCTCTTCATGAGTGAGCCTGTTTCCCAGGCTTGGAATGCCCAGCAGCTTCCCCTTGAAGCTATTAGGATAACTACGCAGGTGCACTATCTGATTTCCATGGTCATGTCCTTGAAGGAAAGGGGACTCTGTGTTTGTATTAACTTGGACCTTATCTCAGTTAGCTAGCACTCAGGGTTAAAGGAATACTAGTTAGAACGTAGTCATGGTGATGGGTAATATATAACTTTTGGGGGGTTAATAAACACAGCAGCAGAGAGGAGCAGCCACCTTTGTCTGCCACCTCTGTCTGCCTGCTTCTACACTGTGTGTGTGTGTGTGTGTGTCTGTCCTTTGTTCGCCTCTTCACAGGTTTTCTCCACAGGGTTCTTTACAGCATACTGTAAACATAAGTCACATATATTTTCAATCAACTGTCTACTACATCCCATGATTGTCAACTTAGGTCTTCACACATCCACATTCTGACTCGATTGTGAACGTGGAGTTCTTGCTGGTAGTTGACTTGCATGGTCTTCATGAATGCTCCATGGTCTGCTTCCATGCCACCCACCATGGCACAGGCCGCCAAGACAGTGTCGTGTTCCCCGATGGCCCACAGGACACAGGTAGGAGCAGCCTCCCTGCATGAACCAGACCACATGTCGCCTTGAAGAAACAGAACTCACTGACTCAGAGGGCAAGAAGATGGACCTCTGGCTGTCACCAGGATGGCTTCTGGTTTGGGGTCTCTGTCCTCCCACAACTTTGGGTCCCTTATTAATTTCTTTCCCCCCAATTATGTCTTCCTCTACTGTTGGGCCCTAAAACAGAGCAAGTCACTTTTTTTTTTTTGGAAACAAATATTTTACAATGTCCATTTCCTTTTTTCTTCCCCTATTTCTTCTCCCTCCTCCTCATCCTTCCCTCACCCTCTGGAAGGGTTGGACTCAGAACCTCACACATGCTAAGCAAGTGCTCCCACTGAGCAACACCCCCAACTCTACAATGTCTGTTTCTTAAATCTAGAAATGCAAATTGTAAATGATAGAATCTACCTAGTACTTGCATAATCTTTAAAAAAAATCAGGATAATGATGTAACATAAGGAAGAAATAAGAGGAAAGTAACTCAATAAGATGACACATAATTCTATATGTAAATGCTCAGACTCAATTGCACTGATAAAGCCATCACATTCTTGCATCTAAAGGCAGAACCCATGTGAGCATGATGCACCCAATACAGGGTTTTGCTGCATCTTATCAGCAACTTAAATGTCATGCTTCTGTTCAAAGTGGTGCTATTGATGATATGATATTCTGAACAGTCCACAGTAAAGCTCCAAACAAATAAAGTGCAAAATTTCCACAATTTACATATGTTTCAGGTTGGTTGTGGGTTTTCCCCCAAAATGTTCATGTACTGGAGATTTGGTCCCCAACCTGGTGGTGATGTTGGGAGGTGGTGGAGCCTTAAAAAGTGGAGCCTAGAGGGAGGTAATTGGGCCCTGGGGATTAACGCTGTCTTGCTGAAGTTCTAGCCCTCCTGTGACTACAGCAGTGCTTTCAGAAAAGGTTATACATGTATTTTGTATAATAAGACCCTCATCCTTATACAAAATACATGTATGAAGATGTGAGGAAAAAAAAAGACTAGCGTTACCCTGGATTAGGTAGAGAGAAGTGATGAGAAGGGAGGGGAGGGGAAGGGGGAAAGGAGGGACAGTAGAATAAAATAGACATTATTATTGCTGTGTGTATATACGTGACTGCATGACCAATGTGATTCTGCAACCTGTACACACAGAAAAATGAGAAATTATATCCCATCTGATTCAAATGTATGATATGTTAAGGTCATTGTACTGTCATGTGTAACTAATTAAATCAAAAAAGAAAAGAAAAGGTTGTTATAAAGCAGGACTACACACAGTCATTTCCCTTTCCACTCCTCTGGCCATCTTGTGAGGCAGCCAGGGCACCCCCACTAGGATGCCAGTGCTATGCTGTTGGGACCCTCCAACTACCAGGAATGTGAATCAAATAAGCATCTTTATTTTATAAGCTATTCAGTCTCAAGTATTTTGTTATATCAATGGAAAATGGACTAAGATGATGTATTAAGTGCATTTCTGTAAAGCATAGTTTGAACCCAGTGGTGCTTTACCACTGAGCTATACCCCCAGTCCTTTTTATTATTTTAATTTTGAGCCAGAGTCTTACTAAATTGCCCAGGCTGGCCTTGAACTTGGGATCCTCCTGCCTCAGTCTCCTGAGTTGCTGGATTTCAGGTATATAACACAATGCCTGGTTGGAATCAGGTAATTTTTAAATAATGTTTTGTGTATTTTTTTTGGTTGCTCAAAACATTACAATGATCTTGTCATATCATATTTCATACATTAAATAGTGTTTTTTTAATCACATAAATGTCTGGGATATTCAAAAGTTGAATTAAAAGTCAAGAAACATTCACTTGTGCAGAATTCTTCTGGGCATTATAAGATGTCTAGAATCCCTGCCCCCAGCCCCAGAGTTCCTGGAGCCTGCTCTAATCATACTTTCAAAGTATGTGAGTATTTTTAGCTACTAAGCCTGAGAGAACCACTAGGCTAAGTAGCTGAGTCAACCTGTGCTCTTTCCCCACCTTTCTCCATCCAGGAAAAACCTCACAATAGATATAAAAACCTGTAAACAGTCACAGAGCATGGTGGTGCGTGTCTGTAATCCCAGCAGCTTGAGAGGCTGAGATAAGAGGATCACAAGTTCAAAGCCAGTCTCAGCAACAGCAAGGCGCTAAGCAACTCAGTGAGACCGTCTCTAAATAAAATACAAAATAGGGCTGGGGATGTGGCTCAGTGGTAGAGTGGCCCTGAGTTCAATCCCTGGTACAAAAAAAAAAAAAAAAAAAGCAAGAAAAAAAAAGCACCTGTAAACAGTCATCCATAACCACATGGCACCTGTACAACCATGCCAAATTCAGATATATGTCTCAGGGATCCACAGGTTTTCTAAGAAATTATAATCACAGATGTAGTTAAATTCTCAGAGATTTTTCAGCCTTTTTGATGACTGGAGCATTAATTCTTTCCGCAGTACCCTTGAAAGATAACTTTGATGTGCTCTGCCTGGCTCTGTCCCTCATTCACTCACTGGGGAGCTGCTGGAGGTAGGAGAGTTGGGGGGTTCCCAGGGCTGCTCACTGTCACTCCTCTGCCCTCCTCCATGGATTCCTCACACAGCCCTTGGTTGAGAACCTCTGGTGGAGAGAAGAGGGATTCAAGAGATTGCACTCCTCCAAGTATGTGACCACAGGGGGCATGGGGGCGGGGACCATGAAAAATAGATGCCTCCTATTAGCTTCTATGTGCATAGACTATGTCTGGAAAAAATACCTAAGAAACCAACCACGTTGGTTGTTTTCCAGGAAAGGACCCTCATGGCTAGAACACAGGAGTAAGAAGGACTTCCCTGATACTATGCCCTTTAGTATCTTTTGAATTCTGTATGAATAGCCTGGAAATATAAGTAAATCAAATCTGAGTTTTCAAAGAAACAGTCTGTTCTCTCTCTGCTTCCTGGTTGTCTTAAACCATGCAGCCTATCTTTTCTCCACTGTACCCTTCTGCCATGATGTTCTGTCTTACCTCAGGCCCAACACCATGGAGCCAGCTGATCCTGAACTGAACCCCTGAAACCAACAAACATCCTCAGAACCAAGCTATCAAGTGATGAAAATGCAAGATACATTGAGAGACCAACTGAGCTCCCAGTCAAAACAAGGTGAACTCTCAGCAATGTGAGTGGAAAAATATCTCGGATGTTTAGCCATGTCAACCTTGGAAATCTTGTTCCAGTTTTCAACTGACACGGTTATGAAAGGCTCCAATCAAGAAGTGTCCGTTGGGCTAGGTTGTGGTTCAGCGGTAGAGCGCTTGCCTACCACATGTGAGGCTCTGGGTTCCAACCTCAGCACCACATGAAAATAAATAAATAATATAAAAAGTATTGTGTCCAACTACAACTAAAAATAAATATTTAAGAAAAAAAAAAAGAAATATCCATTGGGGCTGAGGTTGTAGCTCAGTGATAGAGTGCTTGCCTACCACATGTGAGGCACTGGGTTCTATTCTCAGCACCACATAAAATAAATAAATTAATTAATTAAATAAAGGTATTGAGGACATCTACAACTAAAAAAAATATTTTAAAAAAGAAGCATCCATCTAATCCTAGGCAATTCAAGAAACCCAATAGAAAATAATATTTTTTTTTGTTTTTGCTTTAAGCCATTATATTTTGTAGTATGTTATACAGCAATAAACAACTGATCAGGTTTTTATGCACAGTTACCCACCCATCACAGCTAATGTAATGCTTTATATGAGCTAGACTTGTGTGGCCCATCTCTGACAACTGTTTAAAATTTGTCACCCAAGATTCTACTCTAGCATGAACTATAATCATTATCCTAGTATTTCTCAAGTATTTTGGATTTCTCAACCGCAAACATCTCAAACTTAAATCATTTACCCTGCTCATCATAAAAAATAAATAAGTAAAATGAGCTGGGACCGTAGCTTAGCGGTAGAGCACCTGCCTAACATGTTAGGTCCTGGGTTCCTTTCTCAGCACTGCATAAAAATAAATAAATAAAATAAAGGTATTGTGTCTCACCTCAGCTAAAAATATTTTTTAAATAAATAACAGACCCAGTCCTTGGGGAAAAGCCATTAATTTGAGCATTGCAAGTTGAGAAAGTGAGAGATCAGAGAAAGATGTGGTCACAGGACGAACAGAAAGGTGAAGGCAGTTATGAAGCTCAGGAAAAGGAGGCTGAACAAGACGACTTTGTGGGCATTTCTCCACCACTTTGCAGGGGAACAAAGTTCCTGTTCTTGCACTCTTCTCCTTTGGACCTATCTATAGAGAAGATAAAAGTAATCACTGGGTTCTGTCCCATGATAAATAATCTCTTAAAAAACCGCTAACTTCCCATCATTTCCAAACAAGCTGTTCAGACATCGTTTCCACAGTTGACTTAGTTAATAACCTGTGAGCTCCTCTACCTGCTCCTCCTTCCTCTCCTCTAGATAGACTGCACAGAAAACCAGCCCCAGATGTTGAGCCAAACAGATCCCTGGAGATGTGGTAAGTAGCAATCTTCATTATAAACTGCTTTGTGCATGTGTCGTGGGTGGTCATGGCTTGGCCAAAAGGCCTGGCTACATATGAGAATTGACAAAAGTATGTTTATAAATTCATACTCTGAACCATGAGGCTCTCTATTCAGGGACCTTCTTGGGATGCCCTGGGGACAGTAGAGGTGGGGCCCAAGACCCTTGTCTTTCCTGATATGTGTGAGCCCCTCAGAGCCCCTCTTTCTTTTTTTAATATTTATTTTTTAAGTTTAAGTGGACACAATATCTTTATTTTACATTTATTTGGTGCTGAGGATCGAACCCAGTGCCTCATGCATGCTAGACGAGCGCTCTAGCACTGAGCCACAACCCCAGCCCCCCCAACCTCTTTCTTTTTCCAGGTCTGGAAGCTGCTGTCACAAGCCCTCAAAGGTGATCACACTCCACATGTACCAGCCACACTCTGATTTTGATGGCTGTCTGTTCCTTCTTGAATAGTACCATCCCAGGGCCTAGTGCCAGGTTTTGGGCTCAGTACTTGTGCTTTAACTTACTTAATCCTCCCAATAACCCTCAAGTTAGGTATTACTGTTACAGCCATTAATCCCATTTTATAAAGTAAGAAGGTGAGGCTTAGAGAAACTCAGGAACATGCTTGAGGTGACACAGCTAGTAAGTAGCGAAGGCCAGATGTATCCCCCAGGTGGTCCAAGATCAAGGCCCACTGTTATTCTGGGCTCCATGTTGTCTCCCCAGGGAAGCAGCCCTCCCCAGGCTCCCCAGATGGGGGTGTCCACCCTTGTTGGGCTAAAGGGATTGAGGTCTGGGTCTACACAGGAACTCAGGCCACACAGGCTTTTGGGAACAACTGGAGTCAGAGTAAAAGTAACCACTGCTTTTCTAGCATTCATCTTCCTTGCCTAACGTAGGATCTTGGTCTCAGGAAAGCTCCTTCACACCTGGGGAGGCCTGATCTCCATGGCAGTGTTCCCAGCTCCTCCCTCTGAATGCCTGTCTAGCCCCTGGAGGGTAGAACCTCCCTAAGACTCCAAGATCAGTGCCACAAAGAGGCCTCCCAACACCCTGTAGGCTGTCTATGTGGAATCTTTGGAGTGTGGTTCTGCTCTCCCAGTGGATTCTGAGTAACTGATTTTTTTTTTTAATTCTATTTCGTGGCAGTGTCATCTACTATGCAAGGGAGACATAATGTTACTACTCAAGAAAAAAACCAAGCGACAATTTTAATCACCTACAGTTCCACCACATTAATGTTACCTTTTAATTTCTGTGATTTACCTTCAGTACTTTTTTTTTTTTTCCACGCAGCACTTTAAAGCTTGTATGGTTCTTTAAACACAGATGACAAGAAAAAGCTTCTCCAACTCTGTCCACAGGAAGACCTTCTTCAAAGTATACCAATATTTATTTGGGAATAGCTGATCATTGCAATGGGAACATGTGCTTACTCAAGCAAGTTGAGGCAAGGAGAAGTTTTTAAAGGCAAAAATGCAGAGGATTACATAAAATATTTTGAAATAAGAAAACTTGCAAGAACCAATAACAAGGATGGTGTCAAAGATTAAGTAGGCAGTTGCTGGGCAGATCTGTCCTTGCAGAAGTATTTTTTGTGTAAGGTTGTGGTTCTGGAAGGTTTTTTTTTTTGGGGGGGGGGGGGGTGTGAATTTGTGGTTCTGGCAGTTTTTTGTTGTTGTTGGTGGTGGTGGTAGTGGTGTGTGTGTGTGTGTGTGTGTGTGTGTGTGTGTATTTCTTCTCAGATATTTAAGCATAAATGTCTGATAAGACATTCTGTCTTCTTTGTCTATTTATGTATTTATTTATTTATGGTTAAGTCTTGACAATAGTGACTCCTTTTGATTCTGACAACTTCTACAGTCCCAAGCAAATAGAAGAATCTCCAGGTACCAGAAAAACATTGATGCATATCCTGGAAGAAGAAGGTCTGACTTTCAGAACCCTCCCTGAGATCACAGGACTATGAGGGGAAGAGCAAGAGCAGGCAGCTGAAGCCTGGCCTGGTTGGACACCTCCCTCATCCTAGCTATCCAGGAGGCTGAGGCAGGACATTGCAAAGTTTGAGGCCAGCCTGGGCAACTTAGACTCTGTCTCAAAATAAAGTAAAATTTTGAAAAGGGGTGGGGGTGTTACTCAGTGGTAGAACACTTGCCTAGTATGTATGAGTCCCTGGGTTCAATCTTCAGAGCCACAAAAATAAACAAACAAATAAATAAATAAATAGGAAGGCAGCTGAACCTACAGACTTCTTCAGGCATAGGATCTGAGTTGCTGTGAAACATTATTTGTGGCTGGGCCTGATTCCACTAAGAGCTGAAGAGCTGCAGACATCTCTGTGGCATGTCCCCAGTAGGGAAAGGAAGCAGAAAAAGGAGAAATTGCAATAGCCACAGCACTTCCTTCATGTCTCATTCTTGGGACATGCCTGACCAACAGACAGCAGCTCCATGGTAGAAGAGAGCCCCAGAGGAGGAACGTTCTGCTGCCATCTAAAGATAACACTGAGGTAATTTTAATTTTCACTCTTCTCCCTTTCGCAGGAGTGAAGAGAGGCATCTTATTTTCCTCCAAGGCCACTAATACACCCTCTCAGAGGTGAGATGTCCCTTTTCCTATCCTACCCATGTTTCTCCTAACTCAGGGACAGGTCTTCTATCTTTGTGTGAGTTCTTCTAAAAACAGGTGAAGTGTTCTGGAGGGCATTTGCCTGGGTGAGTCAGTGGAGGAAACCAGTTGGCAGCCAAGTCACAAATTTGCCCCCAGATAGTGGTTATAAATAGTCACTATTGACAGGACCGTGCTGGGCCTGTGGGGTGGGGGTGTCCAAGGTAGAGGAAGATGCAGGCCTAGCAGGGCCTCTTTACCTTGCAAGGAAACCACAGAGCTGTCACTTCCGGGTTTAGGCTTAAAGGAAGCAGAGAGGTCAGAGGCCACAGACTAGCAGACATTGAAATCCTCTTTCTGTAATTTCTACTGAACTAGGGTGGGAACTCCATTTCCCCCTCTTTGCTCTAACTACTGAGGAACGTGAGCCCACGTTTTGTGTCTTCTAGGAGGCCTCACACTCTCCTCTGAAGCAGGCCCCAGCCATCAGCCAGCTGGTGGGGACCCACGCTCCCTCACTTCCTGGCCCTTTCAACCTTGGTCCTCCTGAGGAGCAGAAGCTCATCTCCGTGCCTGTGGGGGTTTGTATTCCTTCAGAAAATATAAAGCCTTTCGCGCTGGAACTTAGCAGTGGCCACCATGGGGTCTGTGAATTTCAGAAGTCACAAAGCAGAAGCCCAGGTGATGATGATGGGCCTCGACGGGGCGGGCAAGACCACCCTCCTGTACAAACTGAAGGGCCACCAGGAAGTGGAGACCCTGCCCACCATAGGTTTCAACGTGGAGCCTCTTGAGGCTCCTGGGCATAAGTCAGTGATCCTCTGGGACGTTGGGGGCCAGGCTCAGCTCAGGGCAAGCTGGAAGGACTATCTGGAAGGCACTGAGGTGCTCGTGTACGTGCTGGACAGCACTGATGAAGCCCGCTTGCCTGAGGCTGTGGGTGAGCTCAAAGAAGTCCTGAAGGACCCCAACATGACTGGGGTCCCTTTCTTGGTGCTGGCCAATAAACAGGAGGCCCCGGATGCCCTCCCCCTGCGGGAGATCAGAAAGAGGCTGGGCCTGGAGTGCTTCGCAGACCGCGGCTGGGATCTCCAGGCCTGCAGCGCCCTCACTGGCCAGGGGCTGCCCGAGGCCTGGAAGAGCCTGCAGGCTCTGCTGAAATCCCGCAGCCGCCTGTGTCTCCAGCTCAGAGGCGGTGGGGCCGGGCACAGGGACCACAAGAAATCCTGATCAGGCCAGAGCAGCTTATCTTGGCTCCTGTGAGCCGGAAGAACCAGCTAATCCTGGAGCCACTTCAGCTCCGTTTATCAAACCAGAAGTCTTTCTATTCTCAGACGGGATACTTTCTTCTCGGGACTCATTTTCAGTGGTATTTATGTTGAAAAATCTTTGAATAACAATTTTATTCTTTGAATAATGGTACTCTAATAAAAAAAAGAAAACCCTCAACATGTTTCATTGAATAGCTCATTATCAAGTGTGAATGGAGCAACAAGTGGTCACATAAAGGGAGATGTAAGTTCAATAAAAGGGAGAGGTTTCAAGATCAAATTTGAGAATCATCTGGACACATTTGCGGTCATTATGAGTGATTTTCCCTGATGGCCTCTGGGTATGTGCCACTATCCTTCTTGGTACAAGTAGCCAGAGCAGGTGGGTTGGCTGCCACAGATTCTGCATTATAGAAGTTCAGTGGGGCCCCCAGCCCTGAGCAAGCAGCTGTGAGTTAAGGGCTTCCAGAATTCACTCACCTTTCTGACCCGGATTAAACCATTTCTACCCTTTATCATCCTGTGTAGGTCTTTTTCAAAATCCCATTATGTATTTTCTTCTTTTTTCCTTCTCTTTTCTCCTTCTTGTAACACATAGTCTTTCCTTAAAGATCAGATCAATTGTTTCATTCATTAAATAAAAACTAGGGGGCTGGAGTTGTGGCACAGTGGTAGAGCACTTGCTGAGCATGTATGAGGCACTGGGTTTGATCCCTGCACCCCATAAAAAAATAAAAAATAAAGGTATTGTGTCCATCTACAACTTGAAAAAAAAAAAAACTATGTAGAGTGCTTAATTTGTGGTAAAAGACAATGGAGCATGCACGCCTGTGATTCCAGCTGCCTGGGAGGCTGAGGCAGGAGGATCTCAAGTTCAAAGCCAACCTCAGCTTAGTGAGGCCCTAAGCAACTCAGCAAGACCTTGCCTCAAAAAAAAAAGTGGGGGTTGGCAGGAAGGGGCTGAGGATGTCAGTGGTTAAGCACGAACCAAGTGCTTTAGAGGAATTATGAATTCTGAAAATAGGGATGACTGCAGTGCCTTCTCCCTTTGACGGATAGTAAAATGGAAAGTTGAACACAGTATTCTAAAAGGATTTTTCAGGTGTCTGTTACCTGGGATCCACAAAAGTCTTGAGTTTATTTGCAAAATGTTATGCTTTGGGCCATTTTTCTAGGAAAACCATAACTTTTGTCAGAATTTCAAAGACATCTGTGATTCCCAGAAGTAAAGGATCAATAATCTGGCTTTATCCTTCATCCGATCCCAGAATGCATTCTGTTATCTGAGTTTTTTAATGGCAAGAAGTATGCATTTGACATCTGTTCTCAAATGAAACAGCCTAAATGTTAGATGGTCCTTGGATCCTGCATTAAAATTAGCTTCCTAGCCAGGCATGTTGGCACACACCTGTAATCCCAGAGACTTGGGAAACTGAGGCAGGAGGATCCAAGTTTGAGGCCAGTCTCAGCCACTTAGCAAGACCTTGTCTCAAATGAATAAATAAACAAACAAACAAATAAAACTGGGCATGTAGCAGAGTGGTAAAAGTGCCCTTGGGTTCAATCTTCAGTAACATCACCTTGCAAAAAAGATCAGCTTTCGGGGCTGGGGATGTGGCTCAAGTGGTAGTGCGCTTGCCTAGCATGCGTGAGGCACTGGGTTCAATTCTCAGCACCACATAAAAATAAAATAAAGGTATTGTGTCCACCTAAAACTAAGAAAAAAAAAAAAAGATCAGCTTTTTTATAGCTCCTGATGATGGTTCTGTCCTCTTTGGAGCATCACAATGTAAGTTGGACCTCAGTCCCCTCTAACATCTGAGATCTTTTACCCACATTCCTCCCTTCTACCAGCTTTGGCATGCCTTGTTCTTTCTACTCTTCGTCAATCAACATACTTCATTTCTTCTATTAGACACGAAGGATGAAAAGATGAATGAGATAGGGCCTCAGGTCTCAAGGAACTCTGGTTCCAGATACCTAGTGCTGGCGCTAGGCTCTGTGCTTGGTGTCTTACAGAGATCATCTCTCATTCTCACTCCCTGCAAAGTGGGCATTATTCCCATTTTATATAATTAGAAACAACTGGAATTCAAAACCAAATAGTTCTATCCCTGATGCCTGCATTCTTCCACATCATGCTTCTAGAAGGTTTAAGCAGGGAAGGCCTTCCATCAGCAGATGGGCTGGGGCGGGGGGTGGACATTCTAGTCAAAGGGAAGAGACAGCACAGAAGCATGGGGTGGGTGGGTGCGGGAAGAATAAGTAAGATGGTGTACCTGAAACAGGGGCTTGGAGTGAGGAGGGAGAAGGTGATGTTGTAATAGGAGATGAAACTGGAAAGGAAGTTAAGGTCCAAGTTGAGAAGGCTGTTTGGACTTTCATATTTTAGGAGTTTGGCTCAGAGATGCAAAAATCATGGAGCTTTGTTTCCTTTAGGAGGATAAGTTAGTGGGGGTGTGGGGGTGAGATAAAGAGAAAAGGGGGAGATGGGAAGGCAGGGAAATCAGCTGGGTGACCATCGCAGAATAGAAGAGAGGCAGAGGCAGAGAGGAGAAAATTGAAGTTATTTTTAAGGGAAGGAGTTGAGAGAGGAAGAATTTGGAGATGGTTCAAGACCTTGATCCTGCATGAAAGGAGGGATTGGAAAGCTATGAACGGAGAAGGTGAGAACAGAAGGCAGCCGGGGGACCAGGAAGTGCAGCCTGGGAGGGCTGGACCGACCGCTGTGCTCTGTTTGAGATGTGGGGTTTGCATTCGGTGACAGCTTCTTTCAGATCATCCAGAATGTGAGCCCCTTGAGACGCTGAGAACCTGTGGAGGCAACTGCAGGCTTCTGCTCATGGAGGCTCATTTTCTCATGTGATGTGTCACTTCTTTATTATGAGCTCATCTTCAGTAGGAGTTGCTTTTCCTGTGTGACTTCCATGTGCCCTGGGTTGTGACAGCATCTCTACAGAGTAGTTTTTTCCTTAGCATCTCTTGGATCCCAGAGATTTTAATTGTTTTAGACCAAATATAGTGTTGGTTTTCCCCATTTGGGATTCTGGATCTCATGGGTAGTAGAATTGGGACTCAGCACCCATTCCACAGGTCCCAGAGGGTTTATTTCTGACAGGTGATATGTATCTTTTCTTTGCATCTATGACCCAAGTCAGACAATTTGCTTCCTCAAACTTCCCTGAGCTGGTGGGCAGCATTTTCTGACCTCCTTTTAAGGAAAGCATCTCTTTGGTGCTCTTGTTTTTCTCCTCAGCTCAGATCAACATCTTCTCTCCTCAGAGCAAGCCAAAGGCCACAGCTCCAGTTCCCACCCACCCGGGTGTCATAACCTTAGCCAGGCCCTGGAGCCATTGGCTCCTCTAAAATCTCAGCTTACACTTAACTGCTTTGGCTGTGGGTTTCCTCTTCATTTCCTTCACTTGAGGATTTCCTTTTGTACAGAGACGGTATACTTTTTTTTTTTTTTTTTTTTTTTGGTACTGGGGATTAAACCCAGAGGCACTTAACCACTGAGCCACATCCCCAGACCTTTTTTTGTATTTTATTTAGAGAGAGGGTCTTGCTGAGTTGCTTAGATCCTCCCTAAATTGCTGAGGCTGGCTTTGAACTCACGATCCTCCTGCCTCAGCCTCCCGAGGCACTGGGATTATAGGCATGTGCCACTGAGCCTGGTGACATTTTAAATTTTTTTTTTTTTTTTTTTTTTTGCTATAGTTTACTGAACAACCCTGACTTTGTAATGGGAAAGCTGTAATCTGTGTGGCTAGACGTCATGAACTTGTTTTGCTGGGTGGCCAGGAGCCTTCTCAGATACTGGCATCAGGGCAACCTGTTAGCTCTGTGCCCAGGAAGACGCTGTGCAGTGTTTGGAAGGAGGGGGAACCTGAAGGAAGGGACACAGGGCAGAGGAAGACCGGGGGTGTCTACTGATGGAGGTCCACCCTATTGACACCATTGGTCTGCACAGACGGTCATCACAGCTGCCCCATCAAGCCATGGGCAGTCTTTTCCCTGGTCTTTGACACTGCCTCTACGTTACCCAGGTCAGTCTCCTCCCTGACCTCAAGACACCCCATGCTAGTCCCCCATGTGTGCGGCTTGCAGGAGGGCCAGTGGGTAGCTCTGAGTACTGAGCGCTTCCCTGAAACCCGCAGTCCTAGAAGGCAGACAGATGCTCTTGGTCCTAATAAACCCCAGGGAGTCTCCTTTCATAATTCCCTTCAGATAAAATTTCTGGAAAAGAACAATAATAGCAAAATATAATAACCACGCCCCGGCAGGTTTACCATAGCTCCCTGCTGGTCCACCACTGCTTAGAGGGACTGAATGTCCAGTCACCCACATAGCATTACCTAGTCTGCGGTTCTAGGCTATTAATTATACCGTTCTCTGGACGAAGATGAAAGGTAGGTCTGAGAGTCCAAGGGCAGCTCTGCCAGCCTTCCACTCATCAACTGGTGAAGGCAGGCCATGTGCACCCTCTTGGAATATCTTTTTTTTTTTTTTTTTTTTTTTTTCAGTACTGGGATTGAACCCAGGGGACCTTTAACACTGAGCTACATCTCCAGGCTTTTTTTTTTTTTTTTTGAGACAGGTTCTCACTAAGTTGCTGAGGCCAACCTTGAACTTGCAATCCTCCTGCCTTAGCCTCCCAAGTTGCTAGGATTATAGGCATGAGCCACTGTACCCAGCCCTTCTCTTGGGGTTTCTAATGTCCTCTGTACGTATGCTATGACGTGTCAAGCTACCATGTTGGGGGCTGGGGTGGGGAAGTCAGTCCTTAGAGTGATGGTAGTATTGGCAGCAGTTCTGCAGGGCACACAATTTTAGGAAGCCTCACACCTGGCCTTCCATAGGCTTATGTTGTTTGCCTGTCTGTACCTCCTCGTCAGATCCCACCCACTATTTCAGGATCCCCAGATCTTACATCACCAGAAAATCTGGCCTGCATATTCCAACCTATGTCTATCCTTCCCCTGAACAAGTCCTGTGGTGCTGACTGTTCTCAGTGTCTCAACCGGGCTGTTCAACAAGTGATATATGAGGATGGTAAGGGGCTGGCTCTGTGGTACAGCACTTGCCTAGCATGTGTGAGGCACTGGGTTCGATCCTCAACACCACATAAAAATAAAAACAAATAAATAAAGGTATGGTGTCCATCTACAACTAAAAAGA